ACTTCTGGAATGCTTGAATTTCTTTGATGTGTGTCGAAATACCTTTCTTGGTCTTCTCCTGCACGGAGAGGAAATCTTGGTTAATAAGTTGAGTAAAGGAAGGGGCATCGAAGAACTCCTTTGCATAATATGTTGACCACCAGTTGCTGAACTCTGGGGTGCAAAGGAAACATGGTTCAAAACCAGTGGGGATGAGTTGAGCCTTATTGGTGTAGCGAGCAAGTTGTGTCGAAGTCATCTCTTCAGTGTACTTCACATGATGAAGTAGAAGGGCACCTTTCTTTTTGAAGAGGCACTTGGGAAAACCTTAGACTAACCCAAACTGTCGAGCGAATAAGTTTGGTTGGTAAGCAATCAGCCCCACTTGAGACTTCGACAGATTTAGCCGAAGGGTTAGCAACCTTAGAACCAGAAAAGCCTCCCAGATCTGCAAAGATTCTTCTTCTTGAGCCTTAGTTGGGGCTGGGAAAGGTCTTGTAAACCACTCAAGACCATACTTTCTTGCAGAAAATGGAGCCATGTTCGCTGTGAACTCATGACGTTTGGTTAACATCATGACATAACTCAAGAATGTTGGCCTGAGGGATTGTCCTTCTTCGTTGGGAGTGAGCTGGACCAAGCGAGTCCCTTTGACTCTTCTATTCTTGATGTCTTCAACAACTTCATTTATTTGATTTTTATTGGGGAGAATGCATTCGAATGAGGAACTTAGCCAAAGTTGTAACAACCAAAAGAGACCAGACATCAAAAGGTTCCCTTTTATCCCAAGTCTTTAAGTTGGGCCACTCCTTCAATTAGAGACTCATATAGACTCCCTAAGATCATTTCTCTTAGGCAGATATCATGGCCTTTGTGAAGTTGAGTGGTCAAAGTTAAGTATCTCCTAGCTACTTGGAGGGACTTTGATTAGAAGACACAATGGGATAGACATACAGTTAAAAAAGCTATGTGTTCTCGATCAGAAACATCATCAGTTGTTTTGTCGAAGTAATGTGTTATGAAGTGAGAATATGTGGCTTTAGCAGATGCAAAACCTATGGAATCATAAGATTCTAGGTCGGGGTCATAGGTGTTTCCAGTGGGTTTGAGCCCTGTGATAACGGCTATATCGAAGAGCGTGGGATTCATCATCCCACAAGGGAGATGGAAAGTATAGTGGGTGATATCCCAAAAGTACAAATAAGAAACTAGAATGATCGGACAGTAATCAAGACTTGTTTTCGACAGCATAATCAGGTCGTAGATTCCCAGGTTTTTCCAAGTTTGCGATTTAACTTTCTCTATTTTTGCTAGCCAATTCATATAATCATCAGAATCTTTGAAGGATGAGGTTGCTCTAAAAACTCTAAAGTTATTATTCATATACCTTAAATTTATATTGTTCAATACTACCGCATCAGAAGAATTTTTCTCAACCCTAGATTTCTTGGCATGCCTTATGGGTTTTGCTTTATGGTAAGACGGGAAAAGTCCCTAGATTTATTGTGATAAAAACTAAGAGAAGGTAAAGGACCGCATAATGCATGTCTTTTACCAGAAACAGTAACGAGAATGAGTACCTGAGATTCATATATTTTCCTCTTTTCTTCTTCAAGTGGTTCAGAGATGAACTGCTGGTTGCCCATCATCATTGGCGCGTGCTTTGATGGGATGTTTCAGAAACCGACATGATGATCATGAAGTCACGGGTTTTTCAGAATAGTAAGAGACGCCAAAAGCATGAAATATTCGTTCGAGGCGTCGAATGATATTATCTAAAAATGCATTTTTCTTTAGTGATGTCGAAAATGACATTTTTGGGGGGGCAATTTGTTAACTCTAGATTTCGACGTCTGGATTGGTTTAGAAAAGAGTAGTAGAGTTTCTGAAGAAATCAGAATACTTCGACCGGATCCATATTTTTGGAATGTGAGTCGAAGGCGTCCTTCTGCCAGGAGAAACTATCCTACGGACTTAGAAATATTTCTTAGCACTTGGAAGGTTTGACTCGACAGAGGTGGTACTGAAGGCATTTAGACATGAAGATTTGAATTCAAAAAGAGGAGGGAAAGTTCGTTCTTATCCATTCCTCAAAGAATACACGTGGAGCGCTTCTAGAAATCGAAGGCATGCAGAGTGCCACTTATCTCGATTTTGTTTGTTAGCTGTTAATAACAGTTATTTTTGATTAGTATAAATAGCAAGTCTTAGTGTTAGGATTTGTGTGCGTTAAATTGTGTACAAATTCTTCAGTATACTCCAAGTACCCATGTGTAGAGAAACGAGTTTGTAAGAATGTATGTTGATGTAACACCATCTTTACATTTCAATGCAATTTAATAAATCTTTTTCATTAAGAATTTATCCTTTTGTTTATGCAAGTTATTATCTTCATCATTTACCAGTACTTCGATTTTACTCCTTCGTGTTCAGTCTTGTTTACACTTAAAGTAAGTTATTTTATCATGAAGTATGTCGAAGTGTTCATTGTCTTGTTAAACTTAGTTTAAGATTTATTAACACATTTCCTAGGATTTGCATGGTCGATCCTGCAAGTAAAACAAATCTTTGTCGATTTGTAAGACCAGTGGTTGTTCACCAATTTTCACGGTGAACACGCCAGTAATTTAAGAAACGACATAACCGTAGTAAAATGTTGAAAGAATTATTCCTTTTGTTGATTGTTTAACTCTGGCGGCATCGACAATGACAATATAAGTGATTCAAAACCGAACGTGTTCAATGTGACAAATTGATGTGTAGATGAAGATTAGATGTTCAATGAGGATTGTGATTGTGAACATGAGTGTGATTATGGGAAGAAAGTGAATTTCTTGTGATCTGGTTGTTGATTTTGATTTAGATTTGGATTCTCAAAGACTCTGAAACTCAACGTTAATGTCATGTTTATCTATTTGGGCTATTCCTTGAATTTTTTTTCAAAATTCTATGTCAACACATTTTTTTGACACCTCACTCAAATAACGGTGCATACTTTTGATAACTTAAAAGACCAAATTAATGCAACAAAAAAAATGTAAATGATCAACCTATTTAAAAAATAACTTAAAAGACCTATGGTGTAATCTTGTCCTTTTTTTTTTTAATCTTTATGAAGTTATAGAAATGAATAGTGAATTTTGTAAAAATATAAAAAGGAAAATGAATAGTGAGTGCGTTTTTTACACATATTTAAATCTATATAATAAAGAATTTAAAAGGATTTAAATTATTTTTCTTTAAAAAAAATTTCGTAACCGCAATACTGGTGATGCGATAATTTTCTGTTATTACCTTCATTTTAAATTCTAATATTTAAAATTAAGAGTGTGGTTGCATTAAGAATCTTATAAGGTGATTTTTTTCCCTAACTCATTTTGTTATTTTTATTATAAGAAACCTCAAAATTTATGTATTTCAAACTCATCTTAATAAAAATTTATGTTGTAACAATTATAATGTAGATCGCAGTAACCACAATAAATGATAATTAGAACACTCTCAATCTCAACAACAATTTAAAACCATGATGATAATAGAAACGCAAGTAAACACTACGCCAGAAATGTGTTTTAGCAGCGCACCCTTTAGCAGCGCTTCTTAAAAAAACGCTGCTAAAGGGTGGGTAAAAAAAAAGAAAAAAAATTTCCTACCTAAGACAGCGCTTTTGAAAAAGCGCTGCTAAAGGGGGGCCTTAAGAAAGCGCTTTTCTGCCACCGATTTTCTGTGTGTAGTGGCAGCCGGGATCTTGAGAAACAACGTAACCTTAGTAAAATGTTGAAACAATTGTTCCTTTTGTTGATTGTTGAACTCCGGTGGTGTCGGCAACCACAATATATGTGATTGAACATCCGATGTGTTCAATGTAACTAACTGATGTATATATGAAAGTTAGGAGTGTAACGAGGATTGTGATTGTGAACATGAATGTGATTGTGTTGATTGTTGAAGAAAGTAAATTTTTTCTGATGTGGTTGTTGATTTTGATTTGGATATAGTTTTGAAAGACTCTGAAACTCAACCTTTATGCGATGTTTATCTGTTTGGGCTATTCCTTAATTTTTTTAAATTCTATATCAAACACATTTTTTTGACACCTTACTCATGTTAATGCCACATATTTTATTTTTAAAACACAATTTTTAAAAAAGGATAACAAGGCATATATTTGATAATTTAAAGAAAAAATTTATTGAAAAAAAAACTTTAAAAAATCAACTTTTTTTACAAAAATAACTTAAAGAATTTTTGGATAATTTTATCATTTTTTAATCTTTTATAGAGTTATAAAAGTGAATAGTAAATTTTATAAATAAAAAATAGTGAGTGCACTTTTTTGACATACATTTAAATGCATATAATAAAAAATTTAAAAGGATTTAAATTGTCGTTGATGTGATAATTTTTGCTATTTCGTTAGTTTACAATTTTAGTGTAATTTAAAATTGAGGAAAAAAAGATGATGCACTTACAGTGTACAAATTTTTTTACGTTGTCAACCAATAACGACTATATATCTTATCAAGTTATACTAAAAATTTTAAAATAATTATATGACATGACAAAATGATATATTTTTTTTAGATGATAATATAAACTAATGTATAACAATTAAACCTTAAAATTAATATTGCAGCCGCATTAAGAATCTTATAAGATGATTTATTTTAGTTTGTTCCATTATTTTTTTCATAAGAAACCTCAAAACTTATGTATTTCAAACTCATCTAAATCAAAATTTATGTTGTAACAATTACATTATACATGGCAATAACCACAATAAATAATAATCACATCAGTCTCAATCTCAACAACAATTTAAAATCATTACATAAACACTGAAACTTGAAAGTCATACTTGTTTTTTATAACAGAAATTGCTCAAAAAACTTATTAAAAACGCTTACTAAAAATTGTGCTATTGTGCACTAGTATTATTACACATAAATTACAATTCAGATTCAACACGCAAATTGACTTGGGCCACAAATCAAAATGTCTTCAATCACAATCTCGTTAACTTACAAAGGTGAACTATAAGATGAAACACGAGCTGTGCTCCATGAAGAATCAAGAGAAGAAGAAGGAGAAGAATGTGGAGAATCATGATTATTAACAAATAAATCAAAAAAAGCATCAATAACAAATTCATGATTCCTTTCCTCATTAACTTCCAAATACCAATCCAAAAGCTTCTCCAAAGCTTCCCAGTTGTTAACACCATGAGCCTCCACCATCTCCACGATCGATTTTTTGAAATCTTCGATAGGGTTCCGCGAATCTATCGCAATCTCAACCGTGTTTTCAAATGGTAATAACGAACTCTCATTATTACTATCATTATTATTACTCCCGCTAGACCTAGTTATCAATTCATCAAATGAATTAATGTTTTCTTTGTCCTTAAATATTGATCTTGTTTCGTCCGGTTCGAAGAAAAATCGACCCGAACGTAAACATTCAATATTCACAGTTTCAACTGAACCACCACTGGAATTCTCAGAAGAAAATTCTGGTGTTATGAATTCAGAAGTTTCTGGAATATCGGATATAGCGTCGTTTTGGTTGGCTCTGAAAGATAGGGTTTTCGGTTTTTTGCTACATTGTAGACAAGCCCTTGGTGAAGATGATTTTTTATCATTGTTTTTGAAAAATGAGAGAAGCTTCATTTTCCTCACCATTTTGATATTGTAAAAATAAAAAATAAATAAAAAGAAAAAGAAAAAAAAAACTTGAAAATCTGAGTTGTTGAGGTTTTAGGAAGAAGTTAATAAGTGATAGCGATTGTGTCAGAAATGAGGTTTGGTGGGAAGAATTTAAAGGAGCAGTGAGAGAAGATAAACCAGATTTCATTATGTGGATTTTGTTTGTAGGGTCAAATCTAGTTTACTTTTGTATTAAAGTTTTGCAGTTTTAGAAGTAAATGTAAGTCAGTCATATTTAATATTACCTTTGTTGATTGTAATAGGAAGGTTAATATTTTGGATACTAAAAATAATAAAATAAAATAATGTAAAAAGAAATATATGATTGAGTCAAGATAAAAAGTATTTTAGTTTTAGAATATTTTGTATATTTATTTTGACTGAAATATTTTTTTGGATTTTATATTAAATTTGAGATTTTAGCCCACTGATTTAATCATAAAAGTAAATTAAAAAAAAATGATTTAAGAGATATGTATAATAAATCCGTAAAACTATGTGCTCTCTATCTTATAATAGGTGTTATTTTTTATATTTTTATTTATTTTAAATTATTTATTCGTTTAAAATATTAATATAATATTTATTATTTATTTTTACTAACATATTTCCACTATCTATTATAAATAACATTATTTTAATAAATAATATCTATTTTATTATTAAAATTAATACAATCAATTATTATTTTAAAAAGTATTATTTTAAAAAGTATATTGTGATACGGAGGAAGTATAATATTGATAGAGTATAATAAAAAAAATTGAAAAGTGAAACTTTTTAAAGAAGAATATTTTTTTTTTAATAAGTAAAGAGAATAATTATATCAATAAAAGGTACTAAGAGTATCCCAACCCAACTACAAACCACAACAATTCACAAAAATTACATTAGTCCCAGTGTTAAGGAATTCCCAAAGATATTTACATCAAAAATAATAACTACAACAGAAAAATTTGTTAGTCCTCTTGAAAAGCCACCACCAAAAATGCAATACTTTGCAAAACTATTTTCAGATCTCTTATTTCGTCCTTGAAAAGAATATTGTTCCTAACTAACCAAATATTCCAACATACAATAGACCACAACTCAACAACATTAGATAACGAAATTTTCTCCTTTACCAATGATAACCAAGATCTTAAATGACAGCTACAATCATAATCATTTATGTTACCCATATCAGACCAGCCACAAACATTGTTCCAAATAGCTCTAATTTTGCAACAATTAAAGAAAAGATGAGATGCATCCTCGTCATTACGAAAACAAAAAACACATACATGTTCGTGTGCATTTGTGATAACTTCGCAGTTTACAAGATTGAGCCTAGTAGGAAGCCTATTTACAATTAGTTGCCACACAAAAACCTTCACTTTGGTCGGGGATAATGTCTTCCAAATCAGTTTGCAGACTTACTTGCTATTAACATCAAGGTTGTCACCATTCTGTGCCAAAATGATTCTGCCATAAAAGGATTTTCCAGAAAAAAATTTGTTGGCAGTGTAGCGCCACACAACCACATATGTAGCGCCACTAGCGGTAGAGACAAAATGCCGCAGTTGCGTAAGTTCTTGAAATTCCTCCAGACGCAATGAATCACTAGCATCCACTATGTTATCGAAGTTCCAATGTCATATCTCACCTATCCAAGCTCCCATTTTCATGTTGGAAAGATTAAAAAGCTTTCGGAATACATAACGCAACGGTCTATCCCCCAACCATTTTGAGTGACAAAAAAGGATCTTGCTACCATCACCAAGTCAATGAGATAGTAGATTCACAAAAATACTAATACAACCATTTCCACAGCACGACATAATATCTTTCCACCATAAGGAAGTAACTTTTCCATCGTCGAAAGCTTCTTTAGATAGGATCGAGTTAACAACATTTCCATAACGTCCTTTGATCACCCCTTTCCAAATTGCATTATTATCAATAAGAAACCTCCATAGCTATTTAGTCAAGAGAGAATTATTGGATAAATCAATGTGTTTTATCCCTAAGCCAACTTCCTCCTTTTCCTTGTGATCTAGAGTGATCATAATGGATCGTCTCGACCTTCAATGTAGGGCAGCAACAATGGTTGTAGGAGAGGAGGGGGTGTACCTGCAAGGTACTCCAATGCCAAAGTAAGTGTTTAAGCTAAAAAGAGAAAGCAAGTACGAGTGTTTAGGTATGAACAAGAGAGAGGATATTTATAAGATTCCCCCGAGCGAGGGGCCAAGGTCTCCCATGTGACTGAAATATCTGGTCGGCCAATGGGGGACTACCAGGTTGAAGATCTAGCGCGTGATCTTTGACCTGGTCCAACTGTCTCTGTGACTTTCGGAGGGGCAGTTGGTCGCGTAAACTGTCAAGCGTGTGAGGGGCATGCCCTTAACGAATATACGCTCCAACGACTATATTGTGCCCAACGGCTATATTGTGTCCAATGGCTATATTGTGCCCCATGGTCATATTGGGTCTGGCCTTAAGCTGGACTATGTAACTTGTAAATGCGCCTAAGAGGGGGGGGGGGGGGGATGAATTAGGCTCTCAAAAATTATTTGCAATCTTTTGCGGTTCTTGGTTCTTTTTCGGTTATGATGTTAGGACTTGAAAATAAAGTGCGGAAAAGAAAAAGAGACACAAGAAAATTATAGTGGTTCCCCTCACATTCCGAGAGTACTCCACTTTCCTTTCGACTCGAAAGAGATTTCACTATAGTTTAGAATGATTGCACAATCTAATCACACCAATGGTGAAGTCGACTATCTAATCTATAGGTAATCCAAGTGTAGGAAGAATAATCCTCTTCAAACACTTCCCTTGTTTCCAACAATCCTGAATAACAAGGTAATACAAAATATAATCTTGAAATAAGTTTGATATCTTTGAAAGTATGATGCTATCAATATTCACGATCGATCTTCTCCTTGAAACAAATATTACTTAAAGAAAGATACAAGTGTTCTGTTAAAAAGAAATGAAATGGACCTGTGATAATGTGAAAATTTATTCAAAAAGCTTCTTTTCAAAAACTGTTTGTGAACACTTTATGAAAATTTGAGAGATGAAGGGAATGGGTAATTTTTATGATTGAGTTTCTTGGAGGTGAATTGGAATTTGAAATTTGATACCAGTTTATACTGACAAAAAAACCTTTACAAAAGGGTGTGATTTTATGCAGCAAAAACAGTCAGAAATCAAATAGAAAGCAATGCATATTTTCATGAAAATCTGCCATTTTTGCTTACTGTTTCAGTGTTAATCGGTTAACACCCTTCAACGTTTAAAAAAATATTCAAAATTAACACATGTTAACTAGTTAACCATATATGTTAATCAGTTAACACTGTAACAAATTCACCAGAAACTTAATTTTGAGATCCGTTAACCGGTTAACCAAAAGGGTTAATCGGTTAACACTGAAGGATTTTCAAAACAGAATTAATTTTAAAATGAGAGATCAACTAAAAAAAGTTATAAAAATTTTTGTGACATATGTGTAGTGAGATATGATTTTTGAACACTTGTATAGGTATTTCAAGTAATATTTGTTATACCTTTGAGTTGATGTTCAAAACTCTATCTTCAACACTTGAAGCTTGTATGAGAAACTTAGATCCAATTGTCACATGCTAGAGCACTATCTTGATCCTTGATGTTTACTTGAATCTCTTGCTTTTTGCGTATGTATATGTTTTATAGAAAGCTTGTTTTTGTTGTCTTCATCAAAACTTTAATGTGCTTGAAGCTTGCTTCTACAGACTAGATTGGGCCTTGCCCAACTGTGGGGCATGTGCTAGTCCAGTCCAGAACAAGATCCCCTTAAGTCATTGATTCGAGGTGAGGAGTAATGACTTGAGTTAGCCTAGTTGTTCTACCAAGGGGCGAGAACCGTATCGTGAGGATGTCTTTGAGATCGCCATTATTTGAGAGAAAAACTTCGGGGACGCGATGATGCATAATGTATAATTAGTATGGTCGACTGTCGGTCACGGGTGACCTCCTCGGAGATGCTAGGACGAGGTCGAATATTGACCGATAAAATAGCAAATGTACTATTTTTACCGATGTAGTAATAAGGGGAAATTCCCCGAATATCGATCTCGCGGACTACGTATGAATACAAGTTTTATAATAATGCAATTGATCAAAAAGTCAAAGGGGTTTTGGTTTGTTGTTTGCAAATGTAAAGGCCAGAAGGAAAAAGCAGTAAAATTAAGGCTTTAGACAGTTATGAGAAACATGCTAGGGTAGGGTGTATGAAATGCCTTGTAATAACCTTAATCCTTAATTTTCAGAAATCACTGCTCAATTCAATCAGTACCGGTTTTAAAGATTAGTTTACTCTAATTCCTTAGCAGAAAACCCTTTGGTATTCTCCCTATACCCCAATTCCTTGGCAGTATAGGAACAATACCAAGCAATTCATTTCATCAAAAACATTACAGTTACTATAGGGTATCCCCATTCATAGGCAATATCTACTACAGTATTATCGTATAAACGTGTTAACAATCATTTTTCTGAACCTAAGGTTAACCGTAAATTGAATCCTTATTTGTCAGATAAGAAAAACCTTAAGAATATTATACAATAACAACGATGATTAGAAAGCAGTGAAATCAATAATTCAAAGAAAACAAGGTCATTATAGAGTCAATTCAAGGACACCCCCTAGCATTGGAGGGTTTAGCTACTCATAATATTTAAAATAAATTCAACAATAAGACTGAACATTACAAGATAATAGGGTCGCCTTGATCTTCAATTGCTTCCCCTCATGAAAACCTTCAGTTTCCCCCGAATCCTTGATCGCTGCAATCTTGATCGTAAAATTATTTTCTGTCCAAAAGTCCTTTTTTTTCTTCTCAAAACACATATCAAATAGTCTCCATTCAAACTCAGCACTAGGGAAATACCCAAAATACCCTCTTGGATCACAAGTGTCAAAAATACAAGAAAAATAGAGAATGAAGCGTTTT